GAGAGAGAGAGACAGAGAGAGGGAGAGAGAACAGGTAAGTCTCCAACCTCGCGGCCGGCCTCACGCTACTTCCATCAATAGGATGCGCAAAATCGAAAGAATCTTCTGCTAGAACATGGAAATATACACTGCCACACTTGTACCTTCAGTCCACAAACCCGCGGCCAAAAAAGACCTCATTCATAAAACCACGCCAACAGCAGCCTTAAGCCCATCAGCCTTCCGCCCGAGTGTTCCACGCGATTGCCCAAACTCCATTCACACAGGCCCGAACCAACCTCGGCCCAAACATTCGCCGCCAGACTCAAAAAGAAAAATCACGGAAAAACAATATTTGAATACTCGCCACCAGACGTGAAACAATAGTCGGGCGCGAAAAAAAGAACCGCAGAAAAATGATGTTCGAACGCTCGCCACCAAACTGGAAACAAAAGTCGTGTGCAGGAAAAAGGGGGCTTGGCCCGAACCGACCTGGGCCCAGTCTCTCTCTCCAGCCATGCACGCAGAGAGATAGAGAGAGGCTACTTCAATAGGATGAGCAAAATCGGAATGAATCTTCCACTAGAATATGGAAATATAAACTGCTTTCCAGCCATGTGCGCAGAGAGATACACAGGCTACTTTCATCAATAGGATGAACAAAATCAAAATGAATCTTCCGCTAGAACATGGAAATATACACTGCCATTTTTTTTAACCTTTTTTTTTTTGTGTGTGTGTGAGAGAGAGAGGGAGAGAGAACAGGTAAGTTTCCAACTTCACGGCCAGACTCACGCTACTTCCATCAATAGGATGATCAAAAATCGAATGAATCTTCTGCTACAACACGGAAATATACACTGCCACACTTGTAGATTCAGTCCGCAAACCCGCGGCCAAAAAAGATCCCACTCATAAAACCGCGCCAACAGCAGCCTCCCGCCCGAGTGTTCCACACAATTGTTACACAATCGCGCCGCCCAAACTCCATTCCATTCACACAGGCCCAAACCAACCTCGGTCCGAACAGTCACGGCCAGACTCAAAAAAAGAAATCGTGGAAAACAATATTTTCGCTGGGCCCGCCCCTCACGTGGGAGCGTCACGCAAGGACTGCTATTTGCTTAAAGAAGGTATAAGGGATAACGCAGTCGCAGTCCACATAAGACTGTGCAACAGTAAATGACCGAGGCGGGCAAAAACGAAGACCATACCTGGATTCTTGCCCGGTGATCGTCCTTTTTTGAAAAAAAAACACAGCACCATTGAAAATGCCAATGCACCCACTGAAGCAATTACTGACACAACAAGTGCAATTGCCACATTTGGTCCATGTTTAACGCCAACTGCGGCGCCTGCTCCCATCCCATTCTCAAGCAGACGGCGTCGCGAAGAAATCCATCCATGCTCCTGAACTGGCTGTTGTAGTTTACTGTGCTCAGTCGGAGACTTGGCTTCAGCCGCAACCTTATTGTTCGCGTCGTTTGCCTCGTTTGCGGATGCACCGGGCTTTTGTCTATCTGATCTCTGGCCTTCGCAGGGAGGAGATTCGCACAACTGTGGGTTCCCTGCACATCTGGAAAAGGGCATAGCCACAACACATAAGGCTTGAATACAATTCACAAATCCCTTGAAATCTGCAGAAATTCCAACTCCCCTCACCCAGTAAAAGAGGATTGAATCATAATCCGGTCATAATTCCCCATTTACTATTTACGGTACAGCTGAACACACAAGGAGTTCTAGCCATTGCAAAACCAACCACTCAGACCACTAACTTCAAGAAAGAAAGGGATGATGCCAAACTACAAAGGGGCCGCTTTATAATCTTATACAGGTGCTTTCGCACTAGAGTCAAGAATCTGTCATGATCTTGAAAGACTTGAATCTTCTTATGCAGAAGACTCATCAATGTAAGGAAAATAAGCAACAGCAAGAGGACAATCCCAGATCACATTATCACATTGCAAGTCAAATAGTCGCACCGTGTCCAGATAGCAGCATTGCACCAACAATACACCAATGGAGTTTTAAGGTACTGAAAACCAATGTCCGTAGAGAGCTCACTCTCTCCCTCAATACACGAGTACAGTTCCCTTACACTCACACTTGGCGCTCAGCGCCCAGCCTACTCCTACACAGCTACTACAAAACTACAAAAAGACAATGCAACTGTTGACATCAGCAGCAGCTCGAAGTACTTGAAGATGCCGCCCATGCAGACCATCGCCAATACCAGGTACGTGCCCTCACATCATCATCATCATCCTCATCCTTCACCTATCCCCTGACTTCACCCAACACCTGTCCTCCCTGTCACCCGAAGACCACCCCTGCACTTCACTGTAGTCCAAGCCCACCGGCTATGGTGGCTGGGCTATGGCGCTGCCCTTGGCAGCGCCCTCCTCCTCTGCACGGCCGCACGTGCTGCACCTCGCCTCCCAGCGCTAGCAGCAGCCCACGAGCCTTTGCTCAAGCAGCGCTGCCGCCAGCGTGCGAGTGCCTCAATGAGGCTGCCTGGCCAGAGCTCTTTCCTTTATGGAAAAGAGCTGGCCAGCTCTCGCAGCCTGGCTGGGCTGGCCTGGGCCCCAGCAGCTTCCGGAAGGCCCCAGGATGCTGTCTGGATGCAGCAGCTACTGGGCTGCTGGGCCTCGTTCGGTTGGGAGCMCAACTGTCTCTGTATGAGGCTGCAAATTTCGCCCAGGGCCTGCATTCTTTGGAAAGGCCCGGTAGGCCGTGGAAATGTGTTCGGTACTCGGCCTGTGTTTCTTTCAACCAACTGGTGCGTCGCAACTGCCTGGACCCCGAATATGAAATTGAGGGAAGAGGGCCTCTTGCAAAAAGCCAGGCCCGCCTTCACTTAGGGCGGGCACCTCCGCCTTCACTTAGGGCGGGTAAGGCTGCAGATGGGGCCCAGTAGGCCTACCGAGGACACTGATCCTCGCATCAATATTTGGTGGTCGATTGTATCGAGGCATTTGGACCTTCGGCCTGTTATGTACCAGACAGACAGCCGCCCCTCTAGGACTGGACAAGAAGACAGCGATGGCTGAGCAACAATGGGCAACAGGATAACGACAAGATGAAATCAAGAAAACAAAACACCCACACTCTCCTCAGCGCATAAGCGAACAGACTGGTTACTCTCCCAACAAGTCCGGTTCTCTGATTTGATGTGAATGTGAATCCCTGTACACTCCCTTCAGAATTGCCAGTGTCAATTTCAGAATGCAATATGCCAGCTGCGATGCATAAGAGACAAAGTGGTAGAGCCTAACTGTGAATCAGCAGAAAGGTGACAGTCGTAATAAATCTGCTTCTTTGGTAGTCAGGAACACCAAAAAAAAAAAAAAAAAACACGAGATGCCACCAAGGTATGAAAAACTGAAAACACTTCTTTTCCTTTCTTTTAACAAAGAAACAGGTCCTTATGGGCCCGGCTCCATATCCATTTAGGGGAGAGTCAGTACAAGTCGGACATATACATGAGGCACCCACTCATACTCTTCCCCACACTACAGCCCAGAGAATCCTGACAGCATTGGACTCTGCCAGATTCGTAACGCAGCACGCAGGAGTAGTAACAGGCTCGAGGATAACAGTAAAGAAGGAGAAAGGCGAGAAACACCACAATCTGCGACTGAAAAGGATCACAAACCACCACTACCTTTCAGGCTGTGACGCCAAGTCATAACAGTAACCGACTCTGAAAAGAACGCCACAGGGCCGCCGTTGGTAATTTAAATTTATGAATTTTCATCGACTGCACCCGGGCCCACGGCTGCATACACGAGAAAGGTAGTGGTCCTTTTAAGGAATACCAAAAAGCCGGAAAAAGACAGGAATACCTATACCTCTTTCTGACTACCTCTGCGAGAAGGAATAAGAACAGAGCTGTGCAACCTACCCTACCTCTGGTGCAATAAACGGCAGATTACCAGCGGGCTGTATTCACTAAGTAGATTAGTTTTGTAATATTTTAAGCTTCACTGGGCTTGATCCCTTGACCTGTCCCTTACTGGGTCCCATCTTCTAACCAGTTTAGTCTTGTAGTTTATCTGCGTTCTGACTCTTGAGGTTTCCGGTGCTCGATCTGTGTACCTGCCACTTACCAGGGCTCCTCTCTCTCTCGGGTAGCCCTGGACCAATACGCCTTCTGTTTTTGTCTTTTTCTGCTGCTTTTGTGTAGGCCCGTAGGTCTTAGTGTTCTGTTTGCCTCAGGTCGAAGTAGAGGTCGTGTCTCGAAATAGGAAGCTGGCGAGGCACCTGGGGTTCCTTTTGCTCATTTTTCTTTCCACGAGCTAGGTGAGAGGTCGCGTAGAGCACTGCTGCGCTAGCCAGAGCAACAAGCAACACATCTTCCTGGTTGATGTGATGCTAGCGACCATAGCTGGGGCCGTCTTGCTCTCCGTCAGACAGCGCTGGGCTCAGAGCCCCAAGCGCTGCTGAAGCTTCCTCACCTTGGAGGTCTGTTCGGGTTTGGGCAGCTGACACAAAGCAGCTCTTTGAAGTCTTCTTCGATCGAGTTGTTGTTCTCTATTCTTCTTCCTGGGAGCTGCGCTCCCCTGCTGAGTGGACACATCATCTGCAGCTGGGCCTCACGAGTGGTGCAGAGTGAAGGGCTGGATTCAGGAGGGTGTGGCGTTTGCAGGCTTGTCTGGTTCGGCACTGAAAGTGGAAGCGGCGCCATAGCTCCACCTTGGGGATAGTGGGAGGAAGAAGAAGACTCCCGGATACTTCGACAAGTATTGGGAGTTTCCTTGGGGTTGGTCAAGCTTCAGGCCACCAAAGCCCCATCGAGTGCTCTACCTCTTGCAATGAAGATCAGTAGAAAACAACACTCCATCACTTGTTTTTCAAAGTGATCGCTTCACCCGTTTTCATAAACCCAAGACTTATGTTTTACGCGAGCAACGCAGGCTTTTAGAGTCTGGACAAAGAAGAAAGAAAAACCAGAATGTGTGAATTTGTTCTAAACTTTGTAAGTAATTGGTCCGTGGGTGTTGATAACGTGGTTGGGATTCTTGGGAAATTCCGTGTTGCTGATTGAGAACCATTTCAATTCAATTCTACTTCGGGTATTTGTGTGCTTCCGCTGTGTATCTTCCACATCTGGTTTGGCATGGATTGTTCTCTCCAAGTCCACTTGTCATTGTGCACGTGGACGTGTATGGGCACGTGTGGATGCCACTTTGGATTTCGTTTCAATCAAGGTGCTGCATGTTGCCACACAAGGGAAAATTGGGAAACCCTAAACAGCCTCCCCCCTATCCAGCCCCTCGGACAAAACCGGGGCCTTCACCGAGACTAGGACGGAGCGTGCGCACACAACTTGTTGGCCAGCCCATTGAAGTCGATTGAAGATATAATCATGAACAACTCTTTGAGGCTCATGCAGTCACAGAATGTAATAACAAGCGACTTGTCCCCATGGAAACCACGAGAACGTCTCCCAGCTATTTTGTTCCGACACGGTGGTCTAGACATTGACAGAGGACCCCAGCTTACCGCCACCAAAATGGATGGCGGGACCCAACAACGAGGAAAAAAAAATTGTGTCCGGGCCAGTTCATTTTACTTGGCGTGCGGCAGGTAAATATGAATTGCTCAATGCTTTCTCAAGCAAGACGGTGTAGGGACACTGTGCCTATGAGAAGAAATCTGGCTAGAACACACAGTTTGCATTTCATTGGGTTCTCCCCCCCCCCCCCCTTAGTAGAGAGGCAGGTGCATATACTCACGTGAAATTGGAACCCAGCTTCTTGATAAGCACTGAAGGCACCTCTCCAGTGAAGTTGTTGGAATCTAGGCGCCTAGCAAATGACAAGAGGCAGCAGTACAATACAGGTCACACACACCAAAGCATGAGTACAGCTGTCTTTTCGTGCCCCTCAGGAATAACTGACAATGTTCGGTTGTTAACAAATCCGTCACCTGAACAATCTGTCACTCAAAAGTTATGGAGTTAGCTACATGACATCTTTGTGAAGTAGCATCAGAACTTTCTTTGCCATAATATCTGCACAGACTCGTACACACAAACACGCGCGCGCACACACACACACACAGAGTACACACACACACACACACACACACACACACACACACACACACACACACACACAATGCAAAATTGAAAGCAAAGCCACATGTTTAAGAAGCAAAATAGCCTAACATTATGGAGTCTGACAGGACTTTCTCACGATGAAAAGTTCGAAGGAGATGCGGTTATGCACCATTCCACCATGAGAGAAACCCACAACCAACAAATCTCTTCCACAAGAACAGTATTTCGGCATACGCGCAATTTTTGAATCTCTGAAAAAAAAGAAGGGGAAACATTGACAATCATACAATATGGCAAACCATCCTCACACCCCAGACATCCAGACTAATCAGGCAGGCACACTAACTGGGATGCTCCACATCCAGATAAACTGAGAATGCACACCACTTCTGACCACGGATGTCAAATCGGGCTGCTTCTTAGTGGTGACCATTTCCACTCCCTTGACCATGTGCCCGATGGCCCACCTGTCCTTCTCCTCCTCCCCGACCCACAAAAAAAAAAAAAACGAATAATCATCATTGACATCATTATATCCCTCAACCATGTGCGCTCTTGGATGGAGTGTGTGAGGTGTCCTACCTTCTTCCCCCGAAAATACAACGTACGGGCATTAACGCTGTGTATTTAGACTGAAAGATACCCAAAGTACAGCTGTAACGACCGTACATTGTACTTGGGGGAAGAAGGTAGTAAACTGCATTCAGCCAACACAACACAGCGAAAAAGAAAAGGAAAAAGACAGCACAGCTTCACAGGTTATCCCTTATCAAGCCTGAACAAGCCTGCTAGCATGCCAGGGCAAATAGACCCCCCAGGGGCTACTGAAGAACAAAAAGCAAAGTACCCAGACCGAAGGCAGTGACTGACATTTTCCCTGCAAGTCAGCAGCCTTTTATGGCGCCCTCGAATTCTTGTTGTAGACCCCATCCCCCCCCACACAGTCGTAATCGGACACAAACAGCAACACCAAAACTTTTACACGACAGTGAGCATCAAGGTGCGCACTTGCACTCAAGGAACATTGAGGATCACATCATCACTGTCTCACAGTGAAGGAATTACTACCACAGTGCCTCCGTGTTTGTCAGACCAATACAGTTGCAATCACACCACATTGATTATCATCACAGAGAATGCGACGCAACTGTGAGCATCATAGTGCGGTTATCTCTTACCAAAACACAGCTTAGCTTCATCTTCCCTATGCTCTCGCTCTCTCCCCCCCCCTTCCCCCCCCCCCCCTCCCCCCCCCACACACACACATCTCAGGAAGCATGGTGTATGACAAACCCTTCCGTAACAAGCGTCACTGAAGCCCTTCAGAGCAACACTCGCACAACGTCGCCAACGGGTGGTCTCCAAGATACAGTCCTCCCACAGCCACTCATAACACGCCATCGTCAATGAGTGGTCTCCAAGATACACTTCTCCCATAGCCACTCATAACAGGCCTGAGAGCAGTCCCCTAGTCATTCTTTTCTTTCATCAGCAAAAGAAAGAATATTTGATGGCGCAGTGGTGCTGCCTGTTCTTTTTCTTTTTCAATGCCCACAATTCAATTGCCCTGTTTCAAAGTTCACACGAGGAGAATGTTCTGCCTTACAGGATCTCCAAAGCCGGGAGCCTCGCCAACCACGCAGGAATACTGCCTGACAGTAAATTGTTGCTCAGGTCAATAACTCTCGCAGCCTTCAGCGCCTCCAGCTCCATTGGTATGACCCCCTTGAATCCATTGGACCCCAGAAATCTGCACACAATACCGATAATGCGTTCTGGACAGAAACAATAAGCGCTCGAAAATCTCTTTCATCTGTCTCACACATCTAGACGGGCTGAGAGAGAGAGAGAGAGAGAGAAAAGAGAGAGAGAGAATGAGAAGTGCCCGGGCATGTCTTTCTACCTCACACTTGATGACCTGTTGCGGCTTCGCCCGCAAAGACAGAAAAGGAAAACCACAAAAGAAAGAAAAAGCATAACGAACCGCCCTATCATATGCCACTTCTTTCACAATAAGAAAAAGAAGAGCCTGAGAGCAGACTGAAATCCATGAGCAAGAAAATAGGAGGGAATACCACCCAGCGTTTTTTTTACTTTATCTGTGAGTCTTTTGTTTGGGAAGCCGTTACCTTTGCAGCATCGTTTTTTTTTGGTGCTGTGCAAGAACTCTGAACGTTTCTGAGAAAATCCTGTCCGTTTTCCCGTTGATGAAGATTCCGATTCAGACTTTGCTTGCTGTGTTTGTGATAAAGTGATCTTGCATGTATGCCCCGTGCTTACATTATGAGTTTTGACTCTATGTGTTGGCCCGGGGAAGTTGTTGGAAGTCGCGTCCAACCACAGGAGTGCGACTGATGTTAAGCAGGTTTTGCTTGGCAGTTGCTCTTCACGTGGGGGCCTTGTTGGGAGTAGCACTGACATGGGAGCCATAATGCTGGCCGTTCATCTTGCAACATTTCCTGGAAGGCAAAAGGCAAAGACGAAACGAAGTAGCACATGCCCCCCCTTCTCTCTCTCTCTCTCTCTCTCTCTCTCTCTCTCTCTCTCTCTCGCTCGCTCGCTCGCTCGCTCGCTCTCTGTCTCTCTCTCCCTCTCTGTCTCTCTCTCTCTCTCTCCCCCCCCGCCGACTTCGAGCTCGGAACCCTTTACCCCACACCGACCTCCCCCTCCTCCCCCCAACCTGTCAATCCTCTGATGAGTCGGTGAATAGTCCGATTGCGCCACGTGGCTGAAGATGTGTAGAGAGAACATGACAACACAGTGAACACACCAAACAAAAAATAAAAAAAAATAAAAAGGCGAAGCAGCTGCCCAAGCCTTTAACCTCCCCAGCTGCTGCCGACTTTCCCCAACCCTCCTCTCTCTCTCTCTCTCTCTCTCTCTCTCTCTCTCTCTCTCTCTCTCTCTCTCTCTC